ACAAATACGTTTCGTTAACAACTTTCCCTCTTAGGATGGAGATAGAAAAATGAAGTAAAATAGCTTGGAATCGATGAACAACAAGAATCAAAATGCGCTGGTGTACAAAACTACTTGAATTAATTTAAAAAAGCAACCAAATTTAAAATTATAGGAAGAATAGCGCAAGTCACTCGACAACTGCCAACGATTACAATCCAGGCGCACTATTCAAACGGTGACTTGGTGACCAGAGCAGCAAGACCCTCGATATGACGGTGTGGAATAAATTTAATGGAATTTATTTATTTATTAACATATTTATTTATTTAAATTAATTTGTTGGTAAGTCGGATTTCACTCGGATTTATGGGAAACTCGAAAATCAACACTCGAATTATAGAGACTACTGTTCTGTGTAAGCAGTATGTGAGTTAGTAAAACAGTCTTGACCTTTGTGGTTTATGTGCCACATCAGATTCATTATTTTCTACAACATAATGAGAATAGTTTTTTATTGTTTTCCTATTCGACGCTTTCCTATTGGGCGAAATTTTGATCGATGAAAGAAATGCCATTCCCAGCGTCCCCCGTTCCAGGCGAATTGTCACAAGCATGCTCAGAACTAGTGCTTGCCCACAGCAAAGCACTTCAGTCCAGATTTTCTACAGCTGACACAGATCGTCATGCTTTTTAAGGTGCATTTCGTAATATTTTCATTAAGAAGAAATGCACTAGACATCCAACCCCAATACTAAGGAATATTTTTTGTTCTCAAACTTGATAAATGCGAAATCCATGTTAGCGGGCTGCGTCACCTGATTTCTGGCAAAGTGACCTGATGTCTGCATCATGTAACGTCCTGATGTGTTCATCATCTCGACACAAAAAATTCACCTGCTTCAACAATATACTCTGCTATAGCATCTGATTATAATGAATATTTCAACGCTAGTGCCTTAACCGTTCGTCCAATTTTCTCCAAAATTGATTTTCCCCAATTGATCTAGCGGATGTTGCGGTCTCTTGAATTTGAAACCGATATTTTAATTTTTTGGGTCGGAGTACTTTATATGAGAATGGTGAAGATCTCAGTTTTGTTCAACTCCTTGATTTTTCGAAAAAGAAGCAAAAGTTTTTTTTCGGCGTTTTCCTATATCTATAATATTTAAGAGAGATATTCCTTAATGAAATGTGTTTTTAAAGACATATTTTGAAATAAGGTCATGTAAGATCATTTTGAGGTCAGGCAGATATTCCTCATGAAGATATCAGGCGCGGATCCTCGGAGGGGAGGGGGTAAGGAATGTCCCCCCCCCCCCAATTTTAGTAACTACTAATTTTAACTTCTCACGAAACTTTCAAATAACCAGCGACGCTAAAACAGCACGTACTTTCTCGCCCGTATTTTCACACAACATTACACGGGATATACCCAAATTTTTCATCTGATTTCAAAATCTTTCTTTAAGGAACAGATTCGATTGAAGAGAAATATCTATCTTGAATGTTTTAGTTGTAGGACGCGTTTAGCGTTCTTCGCAGATGGACAGACAGACGTTTTGTCGTCACAAGAGTTTTCGGTATCAAGAACCTACAAAACTTGTATTCTGGCTACACCGCATGTTAGAGGATTTCCCCCCTAAATTTAGCAATGTATTTATCCACTTTTTCGTTGCCAGGGCCCTATAATAAGAGTTTTTCTCCTGAAAATTCGTTGTTTTTTTCGCGCTGGAATACATCACATTGTCTCTACTCCGTTTGAGAGGGAAGACGAAAGAACTTCGTAAGGATAGAATAAAATAGGGACCTCATGCTCTAATTATTTCCAAATTTTACTACAGAAGAACAACAAATGGCGCTGATCAGTGTACACGGTACAGGTTGAACGGTGGCACAATCCCCCAGATAATCGAATAAGATCTCATAATATCTTAAGAATATACATTTTCCTTTTAATGACATTCAATATTCAAAATATTGCAGCAATGCCGATGTATACGAAATCGTTTTAAAACCAAAGAGCGTCCGTCGCTCCGGTGCCTGGTGCCTTGCCGAGTATTGCACCGTGCTCTCGTCTGTTTGTTACCGGGTTTTCTGCATTTACTCTTTGTCCCTTCGATTTAACACGGCCAACATAGGTCTTTTTGGTTGGGCAACCAGGCGGATGGCGCTGTCTAGAACTGCGCGGCGACTCAGGGAGTCTCCGGTGAATCCCAATACTCTGTCTTCGTCCGACTCACTGTAACATAATTTTATGAATTTCGCTTTCTATTGAAAGTACACAAGTTCAGTCAGTTTATTGACGGAATTTAATGTAGTATTTATGATGTTTAGAAAATTTGTTTTCATTTGATATTAGATTTATTGATTTAAAATGTACCCTTGATGAATTCTTCGTGTAAAATTGGCCGTTCTAAAATTATTTTATTTCGAAATTTTACTACCGTGGTATATTTTGTTATGAAGATCCTTCCACACACGCGCACGTATTCCAACAAGAGCTCTCCGTACAGACTACTGCAAGTGGAAATATTATCTACCAAGAAAGGGATTTCGTTCCTGAATGGGCAATTGATGTAATTTTTCGCGAAATGTGGACAATAAAAATTAAAAATTCTGAAAAACGGGGATTTTGAAATTAGGGCATGTACAATTTGTTGTATATCGTCAAAAACCGTGAAAAACTGTGTGTGACCCGCTATGGGAAAAAGTTAATTTGAAGTTAGATCCTCATAATTTCGAATAACATATGGTTGGTTTTCACTTAATATAAAAAAATTAAGTAAAAAAACCAAAAACAATGGTTTTTCAATAGTGGCTCCAAATTTTTCTTTAAATTTTCTCCTCATATATATCAAAGGATGGTAAACAAATTAGTGCTAGTCTCATTTCCGGCGAACTCTATTCGGAAATTGCTAATTTTTAACATTTAAATTTACAAAATTTGAAGTTTTGTGCACTCAACAAAATCTATTTAAAAAAATCAGTTCTTCATAACAGATATTGTACACTTTAATGAAAAAAAAAGACAATTTTTTGCATAATTTGTGCTTGAAATTAATGCAGTAAAAAAGAAAACATTTTTTCAGAAAACATTCCAATTTTTTTCTTCTTTTTTTCCATTGACAGAACAAGTAACTTTAAAAGAAAATGGCAAGGGTTTATTTTTGTTGAACTGTCTGAATTTTTGGAAATTGAAAATTACTAATACTGTGAGAAAGTGTTGTTGATGATGGACAACCTGCTATGTGATGGAATTGGCAATTTTTTCCTTTCAATATCAATGATTCAGAATATGTTTGTCCTTTGGTTTGATAAGAAGAAGTTCAAAGAAAACTAGAAATTGTGGTCTTAAAATAGAAAATAAAAAACCTACGTGACATTTACAATTTATTGATGATAGAATATCTCCTATGTAATAAGAGCCATATGCAAGGTTTTTGTAAGGGGCTTTCAGAAAAATATTACAATAATTAAATATTTGATACTATTACATAGAAAGTGTAGAATGCCTAAGTTTAACAAACTGTACATTATTAACATCAACAAGCATTTTACTTTAGTCTTGTAAAATTATTTTTATCCACATAGGAAGTTGTCTATCATCAGCGATGATGTGCTGTGTTGTAGAACCACTAATTTTAAATTGTATATCGTTTGGCAGTTTGTTTAGAATTGAATATTTTACACAAATGCAAGAATCATTAGAATTAATTTCAATGATTTGTATACAGGTCTTAAGATTAACAAGTATGGAGGAAAATTTGGAAAAACCTCCCCCATCCAAAAAAACATTTTTTGAGTCTCTCAGAGAGAGCACAGGGACTAAGTGGTCGAAAAGTTGGCGTTTTTAGGGCTTGGGTATATTCCAAATAACTGCCAAAAAAGGTATTGTGACATTTTTCAAAGTAAGCCCCTGTTTTCAGAACATGGTGGTTGGACTACATATAGTATATACTCTCTGTACTGCACCCAGGCAATCGCCAAACCTGGAGGTGAGAGCTCAAAGCTCACATGTCTATGTTCTTTCGACCAGGTTCCTGCTGCTGTCTCTACAAGAGCGGCACCCTGTTTGCCTGAGTAAGCGCTCGGTGGCTGACAAAGTGGGTGCCATGCATTCTTTGTGTGGGCAGAATCGAACTGACACAGTGCAATAAAAAATATACAAAATTTCTGGTATTTATTATATATCAGTGACATTTGTGATGCCTCAAGAACGACTCAAACTACACCTGTCATATAGGTGGACGCAATGAACAAGGAGGCTATGAAAAGGACTTCTCTTGTGAAAAATTGTCTCTGTAATTTTTGCATCATAATTCTTGAAAAGTTATTATTTGTTGATAAGCCACATTAATAATGATAAAAATAAGCATATATGCATATGCAATCTGGATTCTACTAATTACAAAAATGTCAAAGCAATGCTTCAAACAATGAAATCATATGAGGGCAAGATAAACATCGATGAACATTAAATTTGTTTAATAATTTTGAATGTGAAACCTTGAAGTAACATTTTAAAAAACTAAAAAAGAGTGATGAAGCTTTTCTAGCTCCCTTAGGGAAAGTATTAATTACACTGCATTTAGCACAAATATATTTTCATTGCGCTTGTGTGTACAGGGGCATTGTTGGAGCAATCTGATAGCATCAGTTTGCACCTTTTATCTCCAGAATGTTATATTACTAAGTTATATTGCTATAGCCCTCTAAATTGCCAAATCATTGGTTATATGAGCGATTTTAAAAATAAATAGTAAAACTCATTTATCCTAACTTTACCCATCAACTTCAGTGCAAACAAATTGAAAATGAAATGCAGATGAAACCATTGTGATAACCTGGAAATTGAATCTTGCTTGAAACAGATATGTAAAATATGCAGTGACTCAAATCTAATTTATAGAAAACACATTCAGGAAAGTTCAAGAACAATGAATTTTGGGAAATATGATTTCAAATGGATATTTGATACATAGGGTTTGGAAAATTCTCAGGATATACAAGAAATTCAATTTTCACTGAAAAATTGTATATTTACATTGATACTTTGTTTTGTAATTCAAAAACCGTTGAAAGTGAAAGAGCAACAAATACTTCAAGAAAACAGTAAACAATTTTTATATTTTATGAATAACTATATAGAAAGTCATAAATTGAATTTACACCATATTTACAGTAAAATATTATACATGTTTAATAAAACAAAATTGACTATGTAAATAACACATACTTCTCTTTTGTAACTTATAATTTTAACTTGAAACATTACACTTTGATTATTCATATTTAAGGCAATAATAACAATAATAAAATGTAATTAATAACTACAACATTTATAAAAATATGATAATCCATTTTAGTCAGAAATCCAAAATAATGTGTTAAATTTGAACTTATTATTTCACTAGAATTCATAGATACGTTTACAAAGAAATTATTTTCATTTGATTTTGCACTTGCTTAAACATTTTAAAAATTATTTTACTGACAATATGCTGGCAGTATAATTTTGTCTGTAATACACAATCATTGGATTCCAAGTTCTCTGCATTTTGATTAAGTATTTCAGTGATAATTGTGGAATGGTAGTTAACAAAATTATATTTAATATTTTGATTTTAAATATTGGATTTACAAAAGTGTTTTGAATAGTTTACTTAATGCCCTTGACGTATTTTGTATGTTGTCCAAACGGTAGCCAGCTTCATGGTTTAACAAACGCATGTGTCTTTCCACCAACTTTGTTTAATTGAGTGTTCACCATTGCTTCTAGCTGCCTTATATTCACTGTGTTTCAGATTTTCTTATTGTGTGGGAAGATGCTTGTGTGTGTATTTTGTTGTGACTTTCACAGATTGATGTTCGATATGATATTCATAGTAATATATTGACAAAAAAATTTATAGAGAAAAATTTATTTGTAAGAAATTATTCATAAAAATATATTATCAGGAAAGTTTAAGGAAGAAGATTGGCCCAATATTTATGAAGTAAAAAGTAAATAAGAAGAACAATGTAAATTGATCCTGTTGTGGCTGGTGATAGAAAACTTTCAAAGTTACAAAAAACAGACTCATAATTTAGTGATTTTCTGTGTATTTTGTTGGCATTATTATTGGTCTTAGTTTCATGCAAGTATGTGGGCACTTTTGCCTCCAGTTTATAAGACGAAATACGCAAGAATGCCAGAGAAAGTGCATTAAGTAAACATTACCATTTATTTTATCAGCAAATTATTTCAAAAAATACAGCCAACATATACAGTTTTTATTTTATTACGTTTCCTCATATTTGAACTCAATAAAACTACATAAATAATAAATCTTTGAAAATATCATTGAAATTATTTTAAAATGTAAAGCAATTAATTCATGAGAATGGAAGACATTACAAGATCATTATAAACTTGAAGCATGCCATACATAAATTCAGTGTTGTACGGTAAACCTTTGGTAAACTAATATATGCTCTTATTTAATCTTATAATTATACCAGGGACAATAAAGTTAGATTGCTCAAGATCATTTTTGAGGACTCGCTACTACACTCTCTCCTTGTCCATCATCCTTGTTTTGCTCACTAGTATTAGTATGGCCAATTTATGCCTCCATATTGGGAGAGGAGTACAAGGTGGTGGACACAGTGCAGTCTGCAGAGAGTGCATGGGACCTTCCTAAATAAACTCACTCTACTATAATATTATGAACATTAATATAATTGAAGATACTAACACTAAATTAATACTCTTGTGGTACATAATATTTTGTAAAACTGGCAGTTAGTTTTTTGTTTTCTTCTCAAGCAAGTGAAAAGGAAACATCTTTTACAGCAAGATAAAAATATTACTCTTTTTAAACTCATTCAACATTTCTAATATACGTACTCATAAAATACTGAATTCATAAGCTGATAATTTTTCTCTAAACTTCTACCTTTGCTGTTTTCTACATGAAAACATTGCTGAATTTGCAGTGTAGAGAGATAAAACAATGAAAATACTCTATTTTGCCAATTTTGTTGAAGTGTAACCACTAATTTTGAGAATGGCCGAAAAAACAAAGTTAATATGGACATTTTATTTCTTTTGTAAATAATATTAACAACATTGTGTATTTGCAATATTGAATAGCCACAAGTACAAAAATTTGAATTTTTGCAAAAATAGGCTTCTAAACAAAATAACATGAATATTAAATTCAAAGACACAAAATTAAATTGAAATACATAATTCATTCATGTTTTCAATTTACTTTTTCTAATAATGCTAATGCTGATGGATCCATATCAATGTTTGTGTATTTTCTCAAAAAACTTCTCTCTTTATTCTAAGAGAATAAAGGGCATTTAACTTAAAAAAAAAAAAAAAGTTAAAATTATCTCTGTGAAATGTCTTTAAGAAAACAAAAATTAATTATTTTGGCTCTCCAAATTGTTCTAGACAGAGGTGCAAAAATTGTCTGTAAGAATAATGCTATGAATTTAATATAATGAATAACCTTTAACATTTAATTTCTGTTTTCTAATAAGTTCTTGTCACATTTTATTTCTTAGTGCTTCTTTCACAAGTGTTGAGTCATGTAATGTTATTCGATAATGATAATTTTTAATGTATGATTACTGCATATGAACTTCGGTTCATCAGATGTATGAAGGATAATGAAAATAAAACACTTCCAAATAAATTAATTTCCTATTTGAAATAAGAAGCAGAAACTTGTGTAAATATGATTACACTATTGATTGATTAATTGATTAATTCTTATAATGTACAGTACTTGTAGATAAAGTGCACTTCAAAGCTGAAAAGCTTTCATATGTTTAAGCACAGAATTAAGGCACATATATGCCAAATAACAAAAAATTACACAAAAAATCAAAGTTTTAATCAGCTGGTCGTTTTCATCAAATGAGTGAACATAAGCTTGTTAACTCCTGGTGTACTCAATAATACTTTAAAAAATTATAATGAGAACAGTAACACATACATACTTTGACATTATACACAAAATGGCTATTAACCTCATCACAGAGTCTAAAAATATTTAATACATTCATGATGTAAATGTATAAATGTAATTCACAAGTAAAAAGAAAAGAAAGAAAATATGTGTAGATCATGTAGGCATCCATTGTGGATTTTTCATATATTTTTCTTGGGATTTTGAAATGAATGTTTAATAACATAAATGAGAGACCACTGAGAAAAAATGAAATTTAAGAAAATGCTATTCATTATGGCAACTGACACTGCAAGTTGTTTTGTTTAAACATGCCCAAAATACACCAATATTGATAATAAAAGATATGAGTAATTAAAGTCAAATATTTTTCTGGCACTAGAACAATGATTTGGAATGTAACCTGTTTTTGACATCATCCAATGAAATCCCCTCATTCTTCTTTGTCTCTTAAGTTCTGCTCCAACTTTCAGGCGTATCTGACTGTTGTAGTAATTCAACCAATCTCTCTAGAGAGAGAGAAAGAAAATAATCATATTATTACATTTAAACTTTGAAAACAGAAAAAAAAATTATTAATTCATATACTTCACCACTTACTTGATCTTTACTTAATAAAGCAGTATTCATTAATTTTGGCTCATATGGAATAAGTGTCACTGGGCGGAAACCATAAAATATTTCTCCACGGTTATGCTGTAGGAAAAAATTTTGAAATAAAGCAATTTGAAATATAAATTGTATTAATTATTACTTGGCAGTTGGTTTTAACCTTAGTTGGGCGCTCTTCTACTTCTAAAATATTCTCCAGTCGTACACCAAACTGTCCTTCTTCATAATAACCAGGTTCTAAACAAATGCAATCAATATGTTTCAATTTGTCTTCATTTAAAAAATTCTCAAAATGTGTACATTTTATATCTGAAGAATATATCTTACCATCAGAGAAGAAATATCCTTTTTGGAAAGTAAAATTTCCTCCATCATATAAAATATTGATTGGAGCTGGAAAGAAGATGATTATTGTGAAAAATAAACACTAAGAAAAATGAGCAATGTAAAGTATTACATTACATATATTTTTAGGTAGTAGGCGACCTGTCTATTAAGTTACTAATTAGAAAAGATAAAAATACCTTTCCACCGAAAAGTGAGAAAGGTACTAAATTGAAGGACTATCAGCTATGTCAGGGGGCTCCAAACTGTGGCCCATTGATAGGATACTGCTCCTGATGAGGTTTTATCTGCTTTGCTTCCAGACCTGTGCCTGCTGAAGAGAGCGAAGGAAATATTCAGGGGTGACAATGCTGAAGACTGGCTGGGGGGATGTAAGGGAATGTAAAAAGAGTGCATGTAAAGATGGGGTATGCAAAGTGGAGCATTAAAATGTGCAGTGATATTAGTCATCAGTGATTATAACTACTGTCCAACGTTCACTGAATTTGTGATAAAATGCATTCTGACACATATCCTGAAGAATTCCAGGGAACAATTTCAACCATTAAGGTACCAAAATCTATGTTTTGGAAGTCCCTATCATGGCGTGGAAAGCGTTTCTAAGCAAGTTCTTATTAAAGAAGAGTCTTAAAATAGAGACTAGATGTTTTAAATATCAAAATAAACAATTTGCTGACTTTGTTCTTAAAGGAGAAATGCACATATGTTATTGATTTTGATAATATGTTAATTGTGGTCCAGGACTCCCCTTTTTTTAAAATTAATTTCATACACATTAACTAAATAGCATTTATCAAGAGTAAGAGAAATTTTGAAGAACCCTGACCTGGGAAATATTATTTTTATGCATGTGCTTGAACTTCGACAGAGTCCTTGGTAGCGTCATACTTCTTCCGCTTTCCTAATAATCACATTTCATCATTTTATTAACTTTACAAATGCCATTTACATTTCTCAAGGATCTTTTCCAAATATGAAGAATTAACAAAATTGAAGGAATTCAAATTCAGACTTCAGAAAATACTACAAACTTCCGAATACGAGAATGATAGGCAATCCGCTAGGCATGCATGTATTCTATGAAAATGGCTGCAGTGGCCCCTGATAGACTGGTCTTCTAGCAAACCTAGTATATGTTCCAAGGTTGTAAACCATTTGAGGCACTGCGTGAGAGTTAGTCACAGGCCAAAAAATCAGTAATATTACAAGAGAGCTGTTTCTAACTTTGACCGATTTCTAAAACCACAAATTACAAATGAACGCCGCAAATTTTGCCTGGATTCTTCTGGAACGTTTTCTTCAAAGTTTGAGGTAGGCAGAATTAATTACATGAAATTACTTTATAAGTTATATCGAAAATAATGTTAATATGTGTAGATGGTTGGAGAGGTGGCTTGTGACTTTCTCATTAGTACAAACATTCATTTTAATACATGAAACATAACTGAGTTATGTTTATTGCAGATTAATATTCTATAAGAATTAAACAAGTATTCCGACTATTATAATGAAATGTTTAGATTATGTAGTATTATGTAAATTTTTAGTTTGATCTCCGTAACAGCGAAAAAAGTTTTCGTATTTTATTAAGACCCTTGGGTGAGGCAGCGGACTAAACAGCTCGCTAGCTTTCTGTAAAGTGACCCCTGATTCCATTCCCGGTCGGAGCCAAAATTAATCTGTATCTTTCTACTACAAATCGTCTCAGTTCCTATAGCTGTGTGACGAAAGAAGAAAAAAAAAGCAAGGCAGGCGATATAAGTTGGGTACGGTGATAGGAGTGCGTCATGCACGCCACATGACTCCCTTATCCCCAGTCGTGGATAATTAATACAAAACAGGACTCGGGCCTGGGAACACTGCTAGCTAGCAAAAGTCAGATTTATCCAATCCTAAAATGCCAAATAAATACATACATACATACATACATACATACATACATACAAGTATTTTATTAAGCAGCTTTCCAACTTATCTGTTCCTGTTCTATGCTATGCTATCTGTTTCTTGCTATCTCCGATGCAACGCCTTTTATCTACATTAATGTTTGAATAATTTAATTCTTTTTACATTTACAATAATGCATCTTTTGAAACATTAAGCAATAATGCATCTTTTGGAACATTTAGAACATGGAATATGCCACAGTATGGTAAAGTCGCCTAATGTGGAAGACGTTGCTAATGCGAAATGCGGAAGTATTGGATCTGTATTGACCTGAAGTCTCGAAATAAAATTTGGGAATTAATTTGAAGAGGCCCCTTACGGAGCGTGGATAATGGTTTCTGAGTTGAAGCTCTTGAGTATAGTGGCAAAGCGTGTTTTCTTCCGTGTGTCAACAAAAATATTGGATAAAAAATAATTGTTGTTACTCGTGTGCCTTAAACATTAGAATAATTATCCCTATATTATGTGTTAGTAGTATATCCAAGGAAATATGAGAGAATAAACAAAGAATATTGATGCAGGTTTTTACCGCGAAACAGCTTGAAAGCAATATGGTCGCAATGTCCCTAATGTGGAATATTCCGCATTGATGCTGTATATAAAATTTACATGGTTATATTGGCTGCATACATTAAGTTGCATTTTCTAACATATTAATGTTGATATTCTATGCCGTAGTGTGGAGTTGTATGGTCCAACTACTCAACTGATTTGGCTCAATGTCAGAAGTGTAAGAACCGGGCTCATGTCCCATGTGCAGGTAATCCAAATCATTATTTCGTCTGTCAGAATTGTCTGCAATATTAAACTAAATATGTATCTTTGCTTAAATAAAATTTGTTATAGATGTTAATGCATTTATTATTTGCTAAAAAGACAAATAATTCAGTATTTAACTTTAGGAACAGGGTGCGCTTAAGTGGAATATATGCAGACCTTATTTAATCAAGAAATATAGTGGCTCTTCTAATAGATTTAAGTGAAAGATATTAACAGCAGGTGTTAATTGCCCTCAGTGGCTCGTTGTATAACGTTCTCGCTTTCCAAGGCACAACCCCGTGTTCAATTCTCAGTCGGGGCAAACATATTTGTGCGCTATCCTTGTAAAACTGAACTGAAAGCTTACTTTACGTTGTTACATTGTGTTTTTCCTGGATACAACAATACTCATATCAAATACATTCCCAACAAGAGGTCATTTTTAAGGTGATAAATTCCAACCTTCCTCATTACTCTGGGAGTTGTTACTTCTTCTTACTGAGGAAGTAATTTAGTACATATTGGGACAAGATTTATCAACTTTATGGCTACCAGGGTCCAGAAATAATAACTTTTCTGTCGAAAAATTGCCATTTCCGACCCACATTCCAATGTTTTCTCTTTTTTACGAAGAAAGGCGAGAAAGCAAAAAGGAGAGGGTAAATAATAGCAGAATATAATTGTTGCGTGTGAGAGTTTGTACGGAAGATGTTTGGTACTCGGTAGTCATGAAGCCATGAGTCGGTACAGATTTTACATAACCTTCAGAAATAATACAGAAAGTCCACACTATATTGTAGCACCATTAGTTTTTATGCCAAAGCTTTTGAAACCGCACATTTGCCGTGCCAGTTAACCAAGCATTTTTAACATTCTGTCGTGGGCTGGTATTAGTGGTGACATTAGCAACATCTTAATTGATTTAGTATTAAGGGAATGCAAAATATCTTACGGGATATTTGAATTCGAAAAACAAAAAAACATTAATACCGATAACAGGTGAATATAAGGAATTACGTAAAGATACGAATTAAAGAGTCATTAAGAATGCAATGCATCAGAAAATGAAAATATAATATTGATTAAATAAATTTTGGACAATTTAAAAAAAAAGTATCTCGAAAAAAAGCATATTAAAAACATGGGTTATTGTAACAGTTTGACAATATATAGAATATTGAAATAAATTAATTTTGCAACCGACTCTTCCTGTCGTTGATAATTTCATAATAAATTACAAGGTGTTTGATTTTGAATTAAGGTTATTTCAAGGAATAAATAACAAAATATTTCCTAACAAATTTAAATTAACACCATCTGAATACTCGCATGAGCGAGAAGAAAGACAAGAATACCCTGAGATAATGTAAGTATGCAAACGTTCAAAACGTTGATAAAAATAGAGCTAGCCACTCCATTAGATTGAATAATGAATAATAGGGGCAAAATATAGTCGATATAACTATAGACAGATGAACTATTACAATGGCCCAACGCGGGGCAAAAATATATTGTGATTTTATAAGAGGGAGGCTATGAACTATTACAATATAAATATTCACATTCTGTGTATGGATTACAAAATGTGCGGGAATGATTGACGGTTTTGGGATGCTATCTTTCTACCCAATAGTTTTCGCTAATAATTTGTTGAAGTATTGAAAAAGAAATTAAAACAAAAGTTGGTTCCAAGAAAACAAAACGTTTATTTTCGTTTCAAAGACTGTAAAGTAGGTAAAATGGTACAAATAATTACTAACTCGCTCGTCAGTTGGAATGGGACAAAGGGATACGAGGCACTTACATTCATGAACACCGAGGAATGATCCAATACCATGACCGGTACCATGATCATAATCCAACCCAGCTTCCCATAAAGGTCCTCTTGCCAATACATCCACATCTGTCATTTTAACATTGACAGGGAATACCAATGCTGCCAATTGTATAGATCCCATGAGTACACGTGTATACACTTCTTTCTGAAAGTCTGTGGGCGTTCCAAAATGTAAAGTGCGGGTAACATCTGTAGTTCCATCTGCAAAAAATGAACAAGATTTAAAAATATTCTCGATATCCTTGAATACGTTGTAATACAAAGAACAATATAAATGTTGTGTCAACATGTTTCAATGTGGGAGCTTGTGAATTTAAATAAAATAATTTAATATCGTAATAACAATTATGAGTTCTCTAAGTTTAATTTAAGCAGGGCGTTCTTTTAATAAAAACTGTCCACAGAAATAATATAAACTTGTTTTCACGAGCACTTTCGATTATTCAAATATAAAAATCATAAAATTCTGAAAACATCTCAAGGGGTCTTTATCGATCTACACTCTTTTTACCTTGACTATCTTACCCTAACTTCCACTTACACATTCTTCATTGATATGGCTTAATAAAGATTTCAATTAGGATTACATTAAGATAAAATCCTTCGAATTATGAAATATACTTGATATTCAGAAATACGAAAATTCGCTCATTTTCTTCATTCGAATCCCTCAGATCTTTGCTGTTCGCTAGAAAAAGAGTAATATTCTCTAACCTAGGTCTTAGTGTGTACTACACTTTTAAATATCTTTAATTTACACAAAGTTTCTGCGAATCATAATGCATTGGTATAATTTGTAGGTAGTTGGGGGTAATAATACAAAATGTGTATTACTGAAACATAATCCTAGTGTAGCTAACAGTGCACGAGAGCACACATTGGCCAGTTGAAGGTTGACGGGCGCAATGAAAATTTCATATAATACGATCTGATCTGAGGACGAATTGCAGGAAAAATATATGGAAACAAACTTTTCCATGGAATTTGACGGTTCTTTTATACTTATAACGTCAAAACATATTTTCTTCGTATACACTGTTGTCATAACATATTTATCACAACGTTTTGTCTATGTGTATAACACTTAATGAAATATTATAAATATCTAAAAAACTTATTTCTTTTGAATTTCGGTTTTGGGAAATTTAAGAATCATCACATTAATTTTTAAGAAGTCTTAATCGTTTTTGCATACTGTAATTAAACCAACTTAATTATTTTTTATTAATTCCCCAATCACGTTTAAGCCAGACTATCTAGTAATATTTTGCTTGTATGGGTTTTACTACTTTAGAATATTGTTTCTTTTATAATATTCCGAAAATACTATTCTGCTTATACTGAGGATTCGTATTTGTAAAGAAACATGGAAATAGGTATAAGATACTTTGTGTGTGTTTGGAAAAGTCTTGAAAATCGTTACCAAAATCCACATATTATAATAAGGGAGTCATTCAAATATGTTCCATAAGATATGTTTCACTACAGTGTATTGGGCAGGGTTTGCGTATTTATGAAAAATGAATACGTCATTTAGGTTCTGGGGTGTTCAAGGTTATTTAGAATGTGCCTAAGGTGACCAGATGGTAGACGGATTAGCCGGGACAGAACCTTTTTTGAGTTAGTGTCCCGTATTTGTTTGAAAGAAAAACGGGACGTCAAAATATCCTGTTTTTGTGGCAATGACTAATCGGCTTAAAGTGTCGTCAACAATGTTAAATTTATAATGTATTCCATTAAGTTTGGATTAACTTATAAAAACGTAAGCGCGAGTACATAATACGATCATGTATCACGTAACAAGAATGTTTCACGGACTATTGAAATCAAAAAGGATGAGATTCAGTGGTGGTTCTAAGGGAAAATGAGCTATCGCATTATTTGATTATACTTTATCGCTGTCGATACTGTTGAAATTCGATAATCCGAATCTTTTGCTTCTGAGAATATCTGTGAGACTTAGCAAGCAATCTGAATTGAGAAAAACAGACAATTTAATGTTCCATTCTATTGTTCCAGTTGACATTGCTTTTCTACATTTTCTTGTCCTTTTTAACCAAACATTTTCCTTATCAAATACGGAAGCTGGTAATCACTCTTTTTAATATGAATGCTGCCATCCGAATAATGTTGAAAATTGCCATCACTGACTGAATGAAATTCATTAGAATTGTGACCCTCGAAGACAGTTGTGGTCAGAACTTGAGAAATATTGAAATATAGTGTTTTTTGTAGTCTTAGCGTGATAAAACGCCCGAATGCAGCATGTGTCACGTTTTGCCTCTTTTGTATTAAAGAAAATGTCACAATGGCCGTTTTTGGTTTTTAATACCTGGTCACTTTAGGTTAAAGAATTCTAACAACTGGAGCTTAGTTCATTTAACCAAACTTCAATGTTTAGAAAGTAACTTAATGATAATGAATTCTGACAAAATTTAAGTATTTGATTCTCAAATGACAGTGCGGGAATCTCAAATAGTTTTGCGAAGTTCAGCAAGTAAATACTCCAAGTACATTACTCCAATATACATAAGGTTTCTTCAGTGCTGGTCGTGGCGGACTGTAGCGCAGTCAAGTGTGCCAGTTCACATGTTTGCCACCAGATGGTGTCGTTGCCTTGCTTATTTCTGTTCCGCGGGCTTTATTTCCCGGTTCAGGACAGTCCGTCAATCCATTAGTTTTAAACAGTAGCCCTTTTCAGCTGTTAAAAACAGTGCAATTGTATTGTGATCAATATTTGATACTTGTACAAAATACTTGATACTTGTACAAAATAAAGTTAGCCAAATGTGTCCATTTTCTACAGAAACGTCAGCCCGTAACCACATTAATAATTTCACTTTCTTGTTTAATGGTATGTACGGATTATTTTATGCTTTCTGATTAATTGTAAAGGAAACGTTTTCCTGAAAATTATTGAATGTTAAAAAAGTCGAGATTGAAAAAAAGCGAGATTTCGTCTAATATACGCTGTGAGGATCCCTGAAACCGAAATAGTTATTTTCTGGTAGAATGAGGCGTCTTCAACGCTGTAAATTGTATTAAAAGTATTTTCATAAGGAATTGTAGTGTTGTGGGTCCGATATTCAGACATTAGCATACAATGCAAATAGCCAAGGCGTGCGACTTGAAGTCTCAGAGCTGAGATTGAAATTTTTTATCGAAGCAAACAACTATTTTGTTTCTTTTTCAATCGTTTATTTTGTGGTGTTGGATCAGAACAAGATAAACACGTAATTAAATAGCAGAAATGCCTTTTTCATTAAAACGTTTAAATTTGAAAACTTTACCGTTACCAATAATACGAGAAAATACGTGCTGTAAAATAAAATACGTTGTAACATCACTAGCTTAAGAAATATTCGGAAATTTAAAAATTAAGAAACATTTCAGCTACACTGTTGACAGGAACTTACCTAAGTATTGTCCTCCTGAATCTAATACGAATGTACTTTTGTTGCCGATCACTAAATTTGTAGCTTCTGTTGGAACGTAATGCGGCAATGCTCCATTGGGTCCATATCCAGCAATTGTAGTAAAACTAGGTCCTTTCGAATGTCGTTGCTCGCCACGAAATCTGTCGATTTCTTTCGCGGCCGTCATTTCTGTCCATATTACACCTTCTTCTAGCTGCAAGCCACATGCTTCATAGAAGCATCTGAATTACATGTTACTGATATATGCATTAAAAAGTCAGTGTGGTAACACTACGTGAAACGAAGACGAAAAAATGAGAATCAAGTAGAAAAATTCTTTCTTTATAAGTTACGAGGATAAAAAATAATGTTAGGTATTCTCTTTTTTTAAATTTAAAACAAACCTTTTTCTCAAAATATGCCATAAAATCACAAAAAGCAACAGCGTCACGTATGTGAGCAGCTCTCATCCCGTAACTTTCAACGTTGTTTTTCTTCGCTTTGAGAAGCAAGATTGGTGATATATGCAGAAAACGTTTCTTTGGTGGATGGACCTAAAATTAAAAGGTAAAGACAATCATTACTTTGTATAAATTTAAATGGATGGTTGCGTAGTATATTTAACATTCAAAGAACTATCATTTCTTACTGCAGTGTACACTGCACGACTGACGCCCTGATCGTAAACGCACGGAGCTGGCAGTAAAACCTTGGTCCATTGTTGACAGAAAGTTCTAATATCCTTCAAAATATTTTCGTAAGTTCTTAATCTGAAATCAAATGAAAAACATAATATTTCCACTACATTTAGAAATTGATAAGTTTCTTTAATAATAAATTTAACTTACCTAACACAGAGCTCATTGAAGCAATTGTTTGTACGTAGATGTCTTTTAACATGGTAAGGGAGTTTAGACTCATTAATAAATAGGTATATTTCTTTCATACTTAGAATAGCATACGCCCTTACAACTGGCATGTACTCTATGTCATAACCTCTAATATTGAAGAGCCACGCCACTTCTTCCAATGATGTTACTACCATCGCGTTTGCATCCAACGATCTCAAAACCTCTCTGACTAACTCAACTTTTCGTGTCCAAGCCATGCCTGAATCAAAATTATTATTATAGTTTCATAACAATGTAAATGATACATGTAAAAATAGACATTATATTATTCTCTAAGTAATACCTGAAAACGATTCATTATGTACAAATGCTTTAAATGAATCAAATTTTGGTCTTTCTGATGTCCAAATAATGTCCACCAAATTTTTTGATACTTCTTTCAAATTGATTCCAACTGCACCTAAAATACAATAAAACAATGGTTCAATATATGAAGGATTTGAGACGTATAATTACAAAATGGATATTAAGTAGATTTGTAGAATAATTGGACTAGGTGAACATTTCGCCATTTGCGCGGTGAGGCCCTAAACTGTGCGCTGCATTATGTAGACTTGGTAACTTGTGTCAGTAAAAATTCTCATGCAGTCAAAACTGGATAATTGAGTTCTAAATAAGTAAGAAACTTCAAATAGTGAGACTAATTATGAAGCCAAGATATTTTTATACGAAAAACTCAATTAATGAGAATGCAAAACCAGGTAAACGTTTCTTTCTACATTGTCTTGGTCTTTGATAATAGAGGAGTTAATATTTCGGGATTTCTCCGAAATATAGGATTTTTTCGAAATTTTATGTTGTTGCTACACGTTCGTCAGTTCTTGTTGATGTATTAAAATTGATGTTCGAACGACTATCAGGCAGAACGTGCAGGAAGAGCATTCAGGGATCCCCCTTAACCAGGATTGACTGCATTTCTAAGAGTTTATAAACGAGCAGAAACTTATAGTCCCGTGAGAATAAAGCGCAAATAATATCAAAATGTGAATTTAATTCTTCTTAGAATGAAAAATTCTGTGCATCTTGTCCACTCGAGCCACACGAAGTGAGGTGTACCTAAAAAGCACTTTCAAATTTAATAGAGAAGGGATTATCAAATGGAAGAATACGGTTAAGACTACGGTTCAAATAACTCGTATAAACCCTATAAATCAAGGTATAAACTCGTAGATTTTATAGATCTGAAATCACAATTTCTACGACTGATGTGATATACAGCTGACAGATGCATAACGTGTGTTATTAATGTAAACTCTTTTAGGGCAGTTTTCCGGCCCGCCAAAGAAGAAAAAATTCACAATTCAACAAAGTTGTTGGAAATCTACTACACTAGTGGCTTAAAACATAAAACATTGCGTATATACCTGGCTGTATTACAAATTCTAAAAAAAACATACTTTTTTTCTTTCCCATGGCACTCCAGGGAGTAGTAAGGTTCTTGGCCTAACAAATACGTTATCACAGTATTCTTGCAGTTTTTTGTGCTAAATCCCGCAGTGTTTCGTCAGATTAATTCTTTCCTTTTATGAAAGACACATCAAATTTAATCAAGCCACTGAACGACTTTGTGCAATTAATATCAGAGACAATACAACAAAGTAATACTTTCTTGAAACACAATTTGAGCGTTTTATCAAATTGAGTGTGGATTTCTCAGTTCAAACAGAATGAGATATGCATCATCGCCTTAAAAAACGGTACACATACAAAAAACAAGGAAGATTGCGAACATTGCTGGGGGAGAGCTCACAAGACACTGATACACAACCGTGCTTAAGCGGGTCTGGAACTCGCGACTCCTCGAACCAACATTGCCTCTGTTCGCCTTAGCGCCTTCAGCCCCGACAAGGCCACCATGGAGTTGGATCGCAATTGAATCGGGTTGAGGAGAAAGGGAACAAGTCGTGTTTTGCAAATTTTGGCAAGGAAGGAAACGTTAAATAATATTCACACATGTTGTGTTATCCTGTCCAATTTTTCAGCGTGAATTCACTATTGAAAGCCTAAACACTGTTATGACGTGATTTCTTTCATCACAGTACAATTTGTAATGCCTAAAAGAAGATATTTCCAAAATTGAAAAAAATTGCATTTTTGATTTGTTCTCCTTCTGCTCGTGCCGATTCAAGGACTAAAATAAAAGCGCGCGTCGGGACTGACCCAGCTGGCGCGAGAGCGTGTCCCACGCGTGCTGCGAGATGAGGCGCGGGTCGACGCCCACGCTGGCGTTCTCGGGCAGCTCGAGGCGCAGCCAGTCGGCCATGCTCTCGTGCTCCATGAGCGCCCAGTGGCAGTCCAGCTGGTCGTCCGCTTGCAGCACGTAGCGGCCGTCCGTCCAGAGGGCGGCGCGCGTCGCCGTCACCACCGCCACGCCGTTGCTGCCGGAGAAGCCCGACACGTACTCGCGCCGCCGGTCCCACGCCGACAGGTACTCGCTCTAGAAGCAGCAGTGGAGCTTACTACGCCGGCTCCTGGGGGGCAGAGGAGGCGCGCCCTCAGACGCCGCTGGGGACTGGCACAGCCTGGGACTTAGAGGTCAGCTTAGAGGTTCGGTATGGTGAAGCTTGGACTGGGCAGCGTTGAACTATTCGGTCGCCATTATACGACTTCCTTCCTAGGCATTCACCCCGAAGAATTCTTTCGTGCGACGACGGAAAAGTTGACAACACTGCCTAGTAAATGGTGTCTTCCAGACAGACAAGACTCCCTTCACTTCAGTAATGGGAGCCACCTCCTACATTCAATTACATTATTTTTGCAAAATACATGTATTTTCAATCTATATCGATCTAATTGTATTAAAAATGTGATTGATGTATTGGAATATATCCAAGAAATTAAAAAGAAAATATTGGTACTAGGTCTGCCGTCGTAACCACACCAGCAGGTAAAACATAGTTCTAGAATCAACAATGCAGGCAAAAGAGATAACGGAATATGAATACTTATGAATGATAAAATAACTCAGGAAAGATAGTTGAATAATACGAGATTCCAGTCATTCCACAATCACGATCCCTCCCAGCCCCGCCCCCCTCCGCCCCTGCGGAAATTGGTTTACAACTTATTTAACTATAAAGAACCCTCATTTATTCATAGAGCACAGCATCTCAACCACATTTCCTGTATTACTTGCATCTAAGAATATGGATATTCTTTATGTCATTGAAACACAAACTACGACGGAACTGAGGAAAACATATACACAACACAATACGCTATTCAAATTTTAGTTTGTGGTCGAAGATTAAAATTTTTTCAACGGTGGGTTATTTGTTTCTTAACTGAACCATAGTCTTCTTACTAGATTGACATAACAATTAAGAATGATTGTTTTTGAGATATGGATAGAAAGGCCACGGATGGCGGGATGATTAGAGTTCGAAACACTGGGGTAAGAGACGGTCGCGCCTGAGGCGCAGTCAATTTGCTACACAAGTGCGCTTAAGGCTAAATGTCCCGACACTAGTACAATTTGTAGCCACCACGTGGCAGCACCAAAATAAGTAAAATCTACTTTACCGATAACGTCTGAACCAATTGTTCGATTTTCGATCTGTAAACGGAATTTGACGTCTTTTTAAAATAGAATTTATGCTACGATAAACTTTTTCCAAAAATCTAGCAAAAACGCGAATTTGACATTAGTTCTCAAACTTTCGAGAACAAATTTAAAAATTTGGCCTTATAACGCGATGGCGACATGCTTCTTGAATCCAACGCCGTGACAATCATGCAAATCGGACGAATAGGAGCGTCGTAAAGTGAAATTTACGAAAACACCTCGCCCCCCCACCTCCTCTTCCGCGCCGTTGCGTCACTCACCCGCCCGTTGTGGGCCCTCTGTCAGCGCGGTGGCATGGCCAGGCCCGGCGGTTAAAGCGGTGCTACGTCTAAGATTAATTTTTAGCTCTGCAAATAATTCAGCAATTAAAAAATAACAGTATCCTTTTTCAGCTTTAAGGATACTGGCCTGCGATGACGCAGTTAATAAATAACCCTGAGTTGACACCCTTATGATCATCTTCTTCTCCTCTACTCCAAAGATAGGTTCATGAACTGTTCTGGATTCTACCAATTTCATTTCTATAACGATCTGCCTCTGTGTCTTCTACCTCGAGTTCTACACATCAACGCTTGCTTTAGAATGCGTGTCAGTCCCATGTATCGAAGTCATTCCTCCCTCCACTCCCTGAAGTCAGAAAGATAGTATTTTGCCACTGATTGCTTGAACAATTAATTTTCATCTTATTTCGCGTCGCGCTTCTGTCCTGTAGTCCTATGGCGAGAGTCCATAGACGAGGCTTGCGAGCACAACCGCATGGGTGGACAAATGAGCAACACCACGATGATTTCATTCGTTACCGAATCCCGCCAAGCGATTTTCGCCGCTAACTTATATACCGTTAGTTCACGTGCCAGTGCCTTCCGCGCTTGTTGGAGAATGGCCGGTAGGCAAACATATTCGTTAATTTGTGTTGGCCGTGTACAACGAATTCCTCTGGCTGGGTGCATTCCGAGAGCTGCGCCTAGACTAACGCCCGCTCTCGGGCACTTGAACGGCAACACCAGCACTTCCCAACCGTTTATCCGTGTACCGTTAATCGTTATTCCGCTCCGTGTACAGACCGTTTCATTATATAACTATTCAATTATAACTGAACTAAAAATGTAGGAATATTTTGTTTCTCTACGGAAATCGCAATGTGTTTGTGTGTAAGTGTGTGTGTGTGTGTGTTATTTGCCTGTAATAGATCGAAAATGAAAACTGTAATAATTATTTACGAAATATGTACGTAATTTCATCCTTTACTTTACGAGATCAAATCGTACAAAGAGAAATATCAAGGTTGTAGGAAGATAAACCATGGAACTCTACAATATACCGATGATGCAGAAATCCTGGTGCCAGCATGATTATCACATCTCCCTTGAGGTCGAGAAAGCAGTATATTTTCTGGAACTTTAAGACTTTTTTCATCTAGATCTACCTTTGTTAAACACCACACAGAGAGCGACTGACTGACTGACAGACGGACGGAGTGACTGACGAACGGACAGGATGACGGATGGATGGACTGACGGATGGACGGACTAACGGATGGACGGACTGACGGATGGACGGACTGACGGACGGACGGACTGACAGACGGACGGGCTGACGGACGGACGGGCTGATGGACGGATGGACTGAATGACAGTCACAAGACGGACAGACAGCCGCCCTGATGGACGGTCGGCCTGACGGACTAACGATCGGCCACACGGAGAGACGGTCGGCTTAAAGAACGGACGGTCGGCCTCACAGACGGACGGTCGGTCTGACGAACGGACAGTCGGTCTGACGGACGGACAGTCGGTCTGACGGACGGACAGTCGGTCTGACGGACGGAAGCAGTCGGCCTTGAACGGACGGACAGTCGGCCTGACGGACTGGACGAGTCGGCCTGACGGACGACAGTCCGCTGAAGGACGGAACAGTCCGGCCCTGACGGACGGAAGTCGACCTGACGGACGGGACAGTCGGCTGACGGACGGTCAATGCGGCCTGACGGACGGACAGACGGAGGCCTGACGGACGGGCAGTCGCCTGACGGACGGGCATCGGCCTGAACGGACGGACAGACGGCTGAGGACGGGCAAGTCGCGGCTGACGGGCGGGGCAGTCGGCTGACGTGACGGGCAGTCCGGCCTGACGACGGGCAGTCCGGCCTGACGGATCGGATAGTCCGGCCTGACGGACGTGACAGTGCTTTGAACGGACAAACAGTCGACAAACAGTCGGCCCGACGGACGGACAGTCGGCTTGACGACTATCAGTCGACAAACGGTCGACTGACGGACAAACGGACGTCCTGATCGGACGAATACGGCTTAACGACGGACTATACAAACGAATCTGAGCGGACGGACCAGACGGAATGACGGACGGACTTGACTGATGGACCTAGTTGGTCGACTTGCTGGGTCGATCACACCACTTGCTCGACTTGGCTGGTCGATCACCCACTTGCTCGACTTGCTGGTCGATCACCCACTTGCTGCGACATGCTGGGTCGATCCCCTCACTTTGATCGCTTGCAGGGGGGGGGGAGGGGGGGGGGGGTCGATCCCCCAACTTGATCGACATGCTGGGTCGATCACCAATTTGCTCGACTTGCTGGGTCCGATCACCCTCTTGCTCGATTGCTGGGTTCGATCCCCCACGCTGGACTACTTGCTGGGTTTCGATCCCCTACTTGGTTGACTTGCTTGGGTCTATCCCCCACTTGGACTACTTGCTGCGGTCGATCCCCCGCCACTTGGTCGCTTGCTGGGTCGATCCCACTTGGGTCGACTTTGCTGGGTCGATCCCCCACTTGTCGACTTGCTGGGTCGATCCCTCACTTGGTCGACGTTGCTGGGTCCATCACCCATTTTTTATCGACTTGCTGGTTCGATTCCCCACTTTATCGACTTGCTGGGTTCGATCCCACCACTTGCTCGACTTGCTTGGGTCGATCCGCTACTTGGTCGATTGCTGGATGATCCCTACTTGGTCGACTTGCTGGGTCGATCCCTCACACTGATCGGTGCTTGCTGGGCCGATCCCCTACTTGCTCGACTTGCTGGGTCGATCCGCGCACTTGATGCGACTTGCAGGGTCGATCGCCCACTGATCGACATGCTGGGGTCGATCACCCATTTGCTCGACTTGCTGGGTCGAATCACCCACTTTGCTTGCGACTGCTGGGTCGATCCACACTTTGGACTATTGCTGGGTCGATCCCGTACTTGGTTGAGCTTGCTGGGTCGATCCCTCCACTTTGGACTACTTGCTGGGTCGATGCCCACTCTTGGTCGACTTGCTCTGGGTCCGATCCCCACTTGGTCGACTTTGCTGGGTCTATCCCTCTTGGTTGACTTGCTGGGTCCGATCCCCACTTGTCGACTTGCTGGGTCGATTCCCACGTTGGTCGACTTGCTGGTCGATCCCGACTTGGGTCCGACATTGCTGGGTCGATCCCCACTTGGTCGACTTGCTGGTCGATCCCCATTGGTTGACTTGCTGGGTCGATGCCGCCAATTGGTCGGACTTGCTGGGTCGATTTCCCCCACTTGGTCGTCTTGCTGGTCATCACGCACTTGGTGCGACTTGCTTGGTCCCAATCACCCACTTTATCGGACTTGCTGGGTGCGATTCCCCCACTTGGTGGACTTGCTGGTGATCCCCCACTTGTATCACTTGGCTGGGGGCCGATCCGCCTAACTTGCTCGACTTCCTTGGTCGATCCTCCACTTGCTCGACATTCTGGGATCGATCCGCCAACTTGCTCGACATGCTTGGTCGATACCAATTTGCTTGACTTTGCAGGGTCGATCCCCCACTTGATCGACATGCCTGGGTCGATTGCCCCCATTTGCTCGACTTGCTTGGGGTCGATCACCCACTTGCTCGATTGCTGGTCGATCCCCACTTGGACTACTTTGCTGGGTCGATCCCACTTGGACTACTTGCTGGGTCGATCCCATTGTGACTACTTTGCTGGGTCGATCCCCACTTGGACTACTTGCTGGGTCGATCCCCACTTGGACTACTTGCTGGGTCGATCTCCCCACTTGGACTACCTTGCTGGTCGATGCCCACTTGGAACTAACTTGCTGGGTCGATGCCCACTTTGGTCGACTTGCTGGGTCGATCCCCACTTTGGTCGACTTGCCTGGGTCTATCCTCCTACTGTGTTGACTTCTAGGGGTCGATCCCCACTGTTGGTCGATTGCTGTGGTCGATCGCCCCAAGCTTGGTCGACTTGCTGGGTCGATCCCCGCACTTGGTCGACTTGCTGGGTCGGTCCCCACTTGGTCGCTTGCTGGGTCGATCCCACTTGGTCGAACTTGCTGGGTCGATCCCGCCAGCTGATCGACTTGCCGGGTCAATCCCCCAACTTGGTCGACTTGCTGGGTCATCCCGGGCACTTTATCCACTTGCTGGGTGATCCCTCCAACTTGATCGCTTGCTGGGTCGATCCCTACTTGGTCGACTTGCTGGGTCGATCCCCTACTTGGTCGACTTGCTTGGGTGATCCACCCACTTTGGTTGACTTGCTGGGTGATCCCCACTTGGTCGACTTGCTTGGTCGATCCTACTTGGTCGACTT